ATGAAAGTGCTGAAAAATGGGTAATATGCCACTTTGGGGGTAATATGTCACATACAAAAATATACAATATATTCAATGTATAACACACACACACGCGCGCGCGCGCGTGTGTGTGTGTGTGTGTGTACCTATATATTTGAGAGAAAATAACTACTGGCATTTTACCCCAACAAAAGTAGTGTAATATTGCCCCAAGACGTCATTTCATTTTATATTGAGCCTATACAGTACGACTGTTAAGAAAATGAATCAACACTATACTGAATATTTTCATTTTAACCTACTCTGATAGATAAACAAATTAATTGAGCTAAATATTGTGTAATATTTAAATAATAACTTACATAAAGCACTATAAAAGTTATAAGAAGCACATTTTTGTATACCATGCCGTCATATTTACCTCATAAAAACAATATTGTTACGAGGAAATTATTGATACTTATGCAACATGTTAAGCACACAATTGTAAATAATTCTGTGTCACTAACGCAAGCGCTGCTAATTGGTATCATTGTTAAACGCAACGAGTGGCATATTCCCCCGACTTATCCTATACAAGCATTGCATTGCAAGCGTGGACAAATGAAAATAAATACGTGGAAAAATCAAAAGTTGCACTGCCTAGATTTTTGGCAGTGCTTTTTTAATTCTATATTCTCATTTTCTTTTTTTAAAGACATTTATTTTAAAACATATATATCTAATTCTAGAAATATAAATGAATCTGTTCAATGCGATAATTTTTTACTATTTGTTACAAGTAATTCATCGAACATTGTACTTAAAAAACCGACATATCACCGATATTTCATTGTAATACGTGTAATCTGATATTTGTCGAAGAATATTACAATTTTCAAAGTATTAGAATCATCGGACATAAGAAAAGCTAATTGAAATAAGTTTTATATATTTCACGTATAAATATAAAATTCCTGAAATTTTGATATCTAAAATTATGTATATATACGTATATATGTATATACATATATATACACATACATATATTATATAAATATTATATAAATTATATATAAATTATATATACAATATATTAATATATTTTATACTTTTATATATATTTTTTTTTATTTTAGATTATATATGTATATTTTAGATATAGAGAGATGTGTGTGTGCGTTGCATTGTAATATTTTCAATTTTTCGAGAGTGTTACTGCAACATAATTTATCAATTTCTACGATGTTTCCGCAACGTTACACTAATAATATCATAAATGTTAATTAGAATAAGAAACAATTAAAAAGAACATGAAATACCCGGTGTATTTAACAAGTGTTAGAATATTTCAAAAGACCCATTCTTTTTCGCTGCACTGGACTACACTAAATTTTCTATCTGGAAAACTCCAAATGTATACATTTATTTCATTCAAAAGGTGCATTTGGGAAGACGTGCCTTGAGTGTAACAAGTGAACAGTAATTCAGCCATAAAGAGCAGACCTAATATTTGCCAATCGTCAAAATCTCTTAGTGGTCCAAGTGTAACCACGTGTTTTCTTTTGCGTCTCTTTAATCTATTAAACCTATGTTTTAGCAATTTTCAAGTTTTTGTCAATTATATTGCCAAGATGCTAATTCTGTATATTGTGCATGTACATATTTTTTATTTATTACTTGTTTTTGCCGTTCCCACCTATTACATATACATATTAATACAATGGGTGCATTCAGCAGAAAAGAGCGCTACTAGAGCGCTCGCTGTTATTGGTGTATTCTTCCAGATCTAAAATTCTAATTGGATGATTTAAAAGAATACACCAATAACAGCGAGCGCTCTAGTAGCGCTCTTTTCTGCTGAATGCACCCAATATATTAGTTCAATTGATTTATATATCGGTTACACTCGTTTAGTCATTATCAAGACCAGCAATTTTTAATATAGTTCGCTAGTGATTTTTAAGTTTCGACGAAAAGCAAAGCATAATATTAGAATGAAGAAAATACAGACTATAAAAGTAAATCATTATAGATTATTCGATGACCAGACAAATTTGGTAAAGTTACATTTATCTTTACGACAAAATATGTCGTCTATTGAAAAAATAAACCATAAACTGAAATTTTATATCGCAGAAAAACGCAAACAAAAAAAAACAGCAAGGGTACATTCATGTGATGCAAGGATATTTCATGTTGATTTTGTGATTTGTATTTCATCTTTCTATATGTTTTACTTCAAAATGTGACATAAAGAGGAAACATCAATTCACAGAAATGCATGCATACTGTTCAAATTTGGAGCTTCGTGCTCTTGCGCAGTATGTCTACTTATTAAGGGCCAGTTTCACCAACGCCAGTTAGCTTAATCGGTCGTTGACTGACTAATCGCGTTTGCTGTTTAGTAGAATCGACTATAATTGCGGTTGGCAGTTAATCACGATTAAGCTTGACCGGCGTTGGTAAAACCGGTCCTAATAAATGACTTCTAACTACACAAATAATTGTAGTTGCACATTTGATTTCAGAGTTAATAACTTTAATAATTGCAATGCAAATAATTCTAACAGTCACGTCTACAAACGAAATACAACTAATTATAGCTGAACAACTAATCGATAATTATATATTTCTGAGAACAAATATTAAATCTAGTAATGTGCGTATAATCGAGAAAACAATATTAATGGTTTTACGCCAACCTTTGACGCAAGATCGCAAACTTATTCGTATAAAATATTAATCGCAAATCTATCTTGTGAGCTCATCAGAGGCCGCCAGAAAAAGTTTTCGTCGATTTTTACGAGTGTTTTAAAGTGATCTCGTCAATTAGATTTATCCAAATTATCTTTACTTACAAATGGCACGTAACATAAATATCATAATAATGTATCATATCTCACTTCTGACGTCATGATTCCAACATGGCCGCCGCGACTATAGTTAGGAGCCTCACCGTTGGATAGTCTCAAAAAGATTAAGACTTTAAAAAAATAAAACAATCGTTTGTAAAACCGACAAAATTATAAAAATAAAATTAATAATAGAATAATAAAAATGAAATCGGTAACTTGTTAAAAAAAAACTGTAACTTTTAAAAGTAACTTTCCCTTGAGCTATATTCGGATTCGCACCCGAATGCAATCCAGATATCACTCCATCCTTATTGTTTACCAAACATTAAATAAAGATGACGTTGCATTTGGGGAGCACCAGGGATGGAAATCCAAACACGCCCCTCCATATATCTGTACAGTTATTTTTACCGTTACAATTTATAAGCTTTACATAATCTATTTTTGACAAACGGTCTGAAATATTCATATTGGTTAATTTAATATTGCATGTGTTATTAATATTATTAATATTTTTGTCTCTCTTATATTTAATATGTTTGTGGTACATATATTTAAGAATGTTAAACTATATCAGACACAGTTCTATACAAGTTATCAGACACAGTTAAAACATACATTATACAAGTATCTATATTGATTTGAAATTTTATCACAGAGAAATTAGGCGAGTTTAAGACGATAAAGCGGCTAGGCATGCTTGCCATGCCGAATAAGCATGATTAGTTCTTATCTGTGGACCAATCGATCATGATTGATCGATTGGTCCACAGATAAGCGGCCTAGCCGCTTTATCGTCTTAAACTCGCCTAATTTCTCTGTGATAAAATTTCAAATCAATCTAGATACTTATATAATGTATGTTGGATGAATGATGTTTAATTAATTTTTTAATTCCATGGTAAGAGAATTAAATGCTTTAAACAAATTTTTATACAGCATGTAGCTAGCGCAACACATAATTAACAAAAAAGTATCATCAAAATTTACTGGAAATAAATATGATAAAATAAATAAGAGAATGTTATGTGATAAAGTAAAAACTATTTATTATATTGCAATATATATTAATTTATTGACTAAACCATGCTATTAAAACTTTCAAAAAAAAATTTTGCAAAAAAAATTTTGCAAGTGAAAGCAATAATTTTCGACAAGGCTGTACATACTGCGAAACGATAATAATGATAAACATTATCAAATGTTATTATTGTTTCGCAATGATCAGCATTATCGAAAATTATTGCTTTGCATTTGCCCTCAATCCAAACAACGATTTTTGTTTAGAGAAGTGTATTTGGCAAAGATACTCGGTTTATTACCATTGCCTTCCGAGAGGAGCTACGAGCGTTCGAAAAGTTTTTCGGTTCTATCTGGGATTGAGAACCCGGGATCTCTGCCATAGCAGTCTCGTGCGCTGCCTGCTACGCCACGCTCGCACTCATGATGCCATACGGAATAGATCTTCATGGATATAAAAATTTTATAGAATTTTATAGAATTTATCATAGAAACAAGTTCTTGCTTTTTTATATCTCTTTTGAAAATATTTGCTTTCTTAACTTTAATTCATTTAAATTGTGAGACTATATTCGGCATAAATTTAATTATGACAATTCTTATATATAAATGTACTTAATATAATAAATCTAATAAGATGAATACATGTGATTACGACAGGTCATAAAGGTGGTACTCTAGTAGTATGTCCTGCATCTTTATTGTCACAATGGAAAAATGAAGTGCAGAAAAGATGCAAACGTTGTCTATTTAATCTGTTGAAGTGCATCACGACAGCAATCGACAGAGCGCTCCTAAAGGCTTAGCGAAGAATGATATAGTTATCGAGTACGATACAATGTATCGTATAGTATCTGGAGAAATAAAACCAATTCTGCATTATATAAAGTATATCAAAACTTACAAATATTATTTGACCAATGAGTAGACAAGTAGAAACTTAATCTTATCAATACGTATATAATAGAATTTTTTAATACTGAATTTTTAATTTAATCGCAAATTGGAATTTTATTACAGATTAATTGGAAAAGGGTTATACACTATAAAGCGCATGTAGAAGACTTTTCTTCTCAGTTTAGTCCATTCTGCCCCTGTGCAAAAGACTTATCACTAATTTCCAAACACCCTGTATATATGAAACATTTTATATATGAAGGTTTATCCCATGGTAGCGTTAATGATGCACGGTGGCGTAAAACGCACATAACGTATAGTATTCCAAATATTGACATATGTCGAAGACAGCGTGATTACTATACCTATCGTTACTATAAAATAGTCGAAGTAATTAATTGCCTTTTCCAGATTCCATACATTTTTCCTCTTTACAACCGTTCCTGCGGTCTGTTCTTGCGAATCATTCATAAACTTCCTGATTCGACTTTTGGTTGGCTCTGTGGCATCTATAAGGAGTGGCTGATCTTCCTGACAAGTACTAGTCATTGGAATTTGAGTGACTTCATCTTTATGTTCGTCCTTGTAATAACCGTCGAATTCATTCGAATGTGAATTTGTCTCTTCATCCAAATTATCGAAATAGAGATACGTATAGCTGTTAAAAATTCAATATTGTAGCAGTAAATGCAAATTGAGAATGGATTTAAGGTGTTTGAAAAAGTAAGTTTTTCAATTTACATAGAATTAACTAAAAAAGAAATGTATTTAAATATATCTCTCTCTAAACACCCATTATTCAATACCTGCGAGAATTATTCGTGGCACTTAAGAAACCATAGTAAATTGAACGGGAATGAGCTTCAGGATCCATCAAGTACTGTTCTTCGCCATTGAATCTTTTGCGAGAACCTGGATAGATCTGTTCCTCGGCATGATTCGACTGTTTCTTCAAAGCTAATGCTCGGGTGTATATCAGAGGTGGTAAAACAAAAACCAATGATCCGGTCAACGATCCACCAATTAGAGCCATGACGATGTCAAATCGCGGTACCGATTCGCCTACAACCACACTGAGAAAAACCACCGCTGATCTCATGGCGCATCGTTTCCATCCGAAAGCTTGAATATAACAAAAAGATAAATTAATTGTGGCTTTAATTAAATCAATTAATTTATAAATAAATAAATGATCCTTTTATACTTCTGTGTATGCTCCATTGGTCTTCCAGATGTTGAAAAAGCGCCGAATAGCCGATTACGCTGGAAAAGCATAATTGAAGAGCGGCTAATAGAATAGCGATGTTCGCAACCGATCCAGATGGCACAGCTTCCAGAATATTGGCAGTTATATTGCCACCATATTTCCATGCGGCCAAACAAACAGTAACGATGAACAACGATCCGCTTGCTGTGTGTTGCAAAAAGAAATTAATATAAGAAGTACACTAGCAGTTACACAAAAAAGAATAGGCTTTGCTTGGGATCATAAAAAATTATTTCAATATTGAAAAAATAGATTTGAGATGATTTAATATTACATTTATATTATATTAACAAAATAGAAGAAATAGAAAAAATATTTTTAATTAATTGTGTGGCGGTTTCCTCGAAATATATATAGAAATAAAAGGCAAGAAACGATTTATTTTCGTTGTTTCTTACCTATAAAAGAAAAGAAGATGGCTTTATCGATGTCTCGAGGACGACACATGTCAACTTGTACGGTCATTAAAGTAGGATGCACGTCGAATTGAAAAGCTAGCATACCGTACCTGAAAATTTATCCAAGTAATTATTAATTAGTCAATTAATGTATCATTTAATTTGACAAATTATATTTAATACATTATTTTACGATAGTACTTTAAATGTGAAAAAAAAGTTCATTTTAAATATGTATTTGTAATACAGGAACTGCGTGTACCCGGAAATAAATTTATCCCATGTCGGTGAAGTGGTAATTGGTGTAACATTAAATGCTCGGTCGTCAGTTACAATGCTCCACCATATTAATATTGCTGTTAAAGTAACTATTATACTAGAACACATTGCGACCAATCTATAATAATTTAGTAAATTTCTTAGCATCGAAATACACGAGTTATAATAATGAAAAACAATTGAACTTACTTCATGTCTCGCGGACTGCCCAGCCACATTAACGGACAAAGTAAAAGACCGACTATTAACAGCCAATAACAGAAAGAAAGATCGAAACGCTGTCCTGATACCTTAAGTCCGAACAGGTGCAAATTCTGCGAAGCTAAGAAATCATTTGCGTAAAGCTATTATACAGAATATATCTCGTAATATCCAGGAGAATATCTACTATCAAAAAGTACAATTTATTAAAAGGATATCTTCTTTGTTCTATTCAATTAACTGTGATGTTAAATCCAAAGACCATTTTAGAACGAAATAAAAATTACTATTCTTAGTATTAATGCATGATTATAAGGTGCCTTTTTACTTACCGACTAACAAATTCGGAATGCCACAACCAAAAACTGTTAAATCCAAAAACAAAGTGACGATAAACCGTGCGTGCTGTCCCATCGTTAATTCTGTCACGGCGGCGAGAGGATAGCTGCAATTTTAATATCGAAATTTAGAATCTACATCTTCTTATTGGACAAACATTAAAAAATATAATAGAAAGAAATAAGTAATAAAAATACCGATTTTTTTGTGAAATCTGCGGATCCAGAGCAGTCGCGATAATCCATGATCTCCCCAGTAGAATGGCCGTGTAAATTTGCAAACCAAAGACAACGAGCACCAAAGGGATTCCGTACAACCCTAACAATAAGTACACATATATTTTTTCTATCCTTTTTAATTAATGTATACATACATATCTGATATAATTTTTTAATTCCAAAGATATCATGGTTCATCAACGCGAATGGAATGTAGGGAATATTAACAAACGAACAATTTATGCTGGTGCTTTTATTGCTAGATTAACACAAGAAACAAGAAACATTACACGAGATACTCTTTATTAATTAAAATTAACTTATCGCTACGTATAACGTCATCACAAATATACATTGTATAAACACTTGTCGCAACCAATCAAGCCTCTTTTTCGTTATAAAGAGTTTCTCATACGAATCTCTTTTTTAACTTTGACAAATATTTCAAATTCATAGTTGGGAAAAATCACAGATTTTTCAGGGTGTTCGATTTTCTTGTAAAATATTCCATGTAGTCGCCTATCAGAAACTTCTCTTATTTTGATAAAAAATTGCAGTGAGATCTCACCGCACTGGACGATCGATCGTGGTAACGCAATTATCGGGAATACGCCGAAAATATCAATGACGCACAGAGTAGCAAAGAACAACGACAGCCCCGAATTTCCGTTTTTCCACGACGTTACACTTGCAGGATTCATATTGTTCACTTGCAATGCCGCGGTACTAAGACACACGATGTTCGTAGTAAGAATCTGGACCGGTTTTCGTCACGGTGCGCACCGTACCACAGCACCAAGGTAATCCGATACCGATATCGAACACGAGTGACTTAGCTGGAGCGGGAGAGCTGTAGGAAGACCTACAATGTAATATGACTTTCGTATTTAGCAAGCTGTCGATAGAGCAAACTAGACAATAAAGGGATAGAACTTGAAATACTATGCTTTACTTCGACTAATATTTATAGGGATTGCTGTTCTTGATATCACAATTATTTATTTTAAAAACGATTTATCAGTAAAAAAAAATGTTATATCAAGTAATTATATACTTCCACTCAGCTGAAACCAACTAAGAGTAATATAACATCTATATAATTTTACTTTCAACAATGTATAACTATTCTTCTTCTTCTATCCTGTGGATTTCAGATTCAATTGAATTTTAATATCATGTGAAAATTTAAGAGGATGAATTTCCAAGATGAGAAGTCCATCCAGTTGACTAAAATGTATAACTGTTATGCGATATTATATATTACACTTATATTGTGTGTGAGTGCGAAATTATAACATAGATGTTATACATTTACTTTTAGTCGACTGGGCACTTACATCATTCACATTTCCGCATTGATTCGATTTAGATCACTTTTTAAGAGCTTCATATCCTTATTTACTACTTTACATTACAATATACTTTCAAAATATTGTCAGCGATTTTATTAACTTCTTTCTATATGTATTTTTGGATTTATTTGTAAAAAACATTAACGCTGTGTATTGATATATTCCGAGCGAGTAAAAATAATCATTGTTGTAATAAAATAAACACAAATATTAATGATGGATAATAGCAATAGTTTCACTTTAATAAATTAAGATTTTTATTTTCGCATTTTTTAAATAAAAATCACAGATCTCGATACTTAATCAATAGATTAAATATCGATAAAATATAGTTTTGATATCGTGCAGCTTGCTAGATGCTAAAGATATAGCTCTACGAGAATAATCGTAATAGTTGTAATAAAGACGCATATACAAATGCTCTCCCTGAATTTTTAGACATTTCTTGCATCAGTAGTCCTCGTTCAGTAGTTCATTGGTTTTATCGATTGTTGACTTACAAAATTCCCTGGTCCCTAAGATACTCTTACATATACGTTTATAACACTCACTTCCCGTAATATGTACTTCACTCTTGTCATTATATTTGTCACAACCTCCCTGGTACGAGTGGCGAAAACGCATCATAATCTGCGTGCTATATATCAATTGTAATTAACAACCGAGAAATTATCAACTATATTTTTAGTTAATTATATCTTTTTCCTTCTTTTTAATTTTCTTTTAATTTCTTAAATTTTTGACATGATGAATAAATATCATGTTATATTCAACCTAAGTACCAAATAGGTCACATAAGAAATATCTTAACAAACATGTACGTCTAGTTTATTTGCAACTATGTGTAATTACAATTGATCGGACTTATAATTAACTTATTTAAAAAAATAAGTACCTAAATACAATTTACGACAGAAAAACTTAAAATTAGTCGTCCGTCTCGTAAGCAGGTGACGCTGGCGAGTATGTGGGACTCGTGGGCGAGTATCCCGGTACAGGCGGCGAGTACGTCGGACTCGTCGGAGAATAACTCGGGCTTGTAGGCGTGTATGTAGGACTTGTGGGCGAATATTTGGTGCTTGACGGCGAGTACTGCGGACTTGTGGGCGAGTACGTTGGACTGGTAGGCGAATAGTTCGGACTGCTGGGCGAATATCGGGTGCTGCCAGATGTAGTATGCTGCGGCGAACTCGGCGAGTACGACGGACTTGTAGGTGAATATGTCGGGCTGGTTGGCGAGTATGTAGGACTCGCAGGTGTGTATTGCGGCGATGTACCGGCAAATGACGGTGAGGTAGGAGAATAACTCGGGCTCGTCGGTGAATATTTGGGACTGCTGGGGGAATAACTTGGACTCGCAGGCGAGTATTGCGGCGAGCTTGGCGAATAACTGGGTGAAGTGGGCGAATACGAGGGTGAAGCAGGTGTGTAGTTGGGCGAGCTTGGTGAATAGCTCGGCGATGTTGGTGAGTAACTCGGACTCGTAGGCGAATAGCTTGGGCTCGTGGGCGAATAACTTGGACTTGTCGGGGAATAACTCGGTGAGGTTGGTGAATAACTCGGGCTCGTCGGCGAGTAACTCGGCGAAGTTGGCGAGTAGCTTGGTGACGTAGGCGAGTAACTTGGGCTGGTCGGTGAATAGCTTGGCGAAGTAGGCGAGTAACTCGGACTCGTTGGCGAATAACTTGGAGATGTGGGCGAGTAACTCGGACTTGTTGGCGAATAACTCGGTGAGGTTGGCGAGTAACTCGGACTTGTCGGAGAGTAGCTTGGGGACGTGGGTGAATAATTTGGACTAGTCGGCGAATATGTTGGACTTGTAGGCGAATAATTCGGACTCGACGGTGTCATGCTAGGCGATGTAGGTAAATACGCTGGCGACGTTGGAGAATAACTGGGTGATGCCGCACCAGCAGGTGACATTGGGAATGGACTCATACTTGGACCTGGACTGCCAGGACTTCCTGGTTGTGGTGAATAAGCAGAATATGCCGGCGATAAGCCCGATGCGTCCGATGCTCCCGATGGCGAGAAACATGCACCACCTGGCGTCATACCGCTGCTCAAAGCTGTAAAACGAAAGATTACAATTGTTAATATTGTTTGGTATACATTTCGCAGAAACTAGATTTTTTATTTTATTTTGAAATTACACAACGCTTACCTGGCGACATGTTCGACGCACCATAACCAGGAGTAGCTCCCATCCAAGGAGTCATTTGAGGACTCATACTGGACATGCCAGTTACGCTGCCAAAGAACATTCCCGCTGTTCCCATCATACCTGCCCCAACTGCCATAGGAATTTCGATACCAGATTTACATTTCTCCGCGTCCAGTAATAGATCAAAGCATCCTAAACACACAACATAGTTATTGATATTGTATCATTATTTAAATTTTTGCAGACCATAAATTTAATCTAAGGATATTAATATTTTCTTTACATTTCTTTACAAAACAGATTTGCGAACATAAATTAGAATACAATTTGCATAATATACTTGTAATATTTCTTATTCTATAAAAGATCTGTATACATCGCGCATTACCTGTTCCAATTCGAGGAAGTTGTCCCATTATGATATTTTCGGATACTCCTCTCATTGGATCTACCTCTGCGTGAGACGCAGCATCCAACAATACATCGACCGTTTCTTCGAAGGAACACCTAAAGAAATTTAAATTCTTATTAACTTTTAACCGATTACCTTCTATCTATCATTGCGAAATATACATAAATCTTTCAAATATCCCAATAAAAAAAAAAGACGAGATTCGTTTACCTCATTAAAGCACCGGTGTCTTGTCTATTGATTCCATGACGTGTTATCGCCATAAGATGACCCTTTGCAGTCATGACGTCGCAAAGCAAAGCAAGATGTCGATAGTTGACGTAAAGACCATAGAATTGTAACACAGCATTCATTTCCTTTTCTACTGATTTTCGCACGGCTTCGATGCCGAGCACTTGGAATATTTCGCAAATATCATTGCTGAACGTCCGCACAGGATCGACGTCTCTCTCGCTCAACACCTTCATCAAGCTCGTCCCGTCGGTTTCCAAGAGCCATTCCGCGATGGCCTTGAATTCGCCAGTTTCCGTGATAACAATGCGTTTCTTAGAATCTGTTTGTGGCAGATGCATGTAAACTTTACCGATAGCTTCGATACCCTGAAACATTAAATAAAACGTAAAAAACAAATTTTCTTTATATAACTACATTAAGCTAATTAATAACAGCGATTAAGCAAAGATACAAAAGACTAACGTAATTGGCATTGTTATTTTACAGTCCAACGTACCTGTAGAGTCATATCACTAAGCATGTTGGCTTCAATACAACGAAGGAACATATCGTCCTCCATCTTATCAACGGTCTCCTCATCTGTATCCTGAAACTTATTGTCGTCACTGTTCATTATTCTGATACGCAGTACCAGCTTCTCGGCGTTATCGTCATTGAATATGCAGTTCAAATCGTCGCCAAAGCCAGCGTTGATCTTTTCCGCGATCTGTTCCATTGTTAACTTCTTGTCAGTCATTCGTTTCCTATCCAGCTCAATTCGCAACAACCACGGCGATATTTTTGTGGGATCAAAGTCTGGCATCTCGTAATACACGTTGACGAACTCCTGATCTTCTGCAATTACTGTGTTCTGTGGATCTGGATCGTAGTATATCGCCGTGTTTGCCGTCACCTTTTTCAACGTTGTGTGTTCCAGTCGACAAAGTACGTTCTTCGCCTTCTCGGCATCACGCGCGGCAGCGCCCGTCAGGAATACTGTGAGTGACGGCGCCTTCGGCTTCTTGCTGATGTTGATAATTTCTTTCAATCTAGGCACACCAAGGGTTACATTTTTCGATGATACACCAGCGAAGTGGAAAGTATTCAGGGTCATCTGAGTGGCAGGCTCGCCGAGAGATTGCGCCGCCAATGCGCCGACCATCTCGCCGGGTGATACTTGAGCTTGCTGGAATCTTGTTTCGATTTCTCCAATTAACCACTCGAAGGCCTCACTGGACAGTCTGAATTCCTCGGAGACGCACTTAGTGCATAAAGTCGATCTTACTAAACATTGGAACAGTAATGTTGCGTTTTCGTTCGCCTGTTTGCTCAGTCTGTCATCCCCGGCGACAATGATACACTTTTCCAGAAGATTCTTTACGCCTTGGATCACCCTCATTGGACTAAGATCGGTCGGCGCTCGCTTATTGATGTGAAATATCTTCTGTACGTTCCAAATCATCCTCTGCAGATTGCAGGGCAGTACGACTTTGGATTCTCCGCTTGGGAAGATCTCACGGAGTACAGCGCGGTCCCTGTTCAACTGTTCCCATTCTCTTTCTAGTTCGGATATCACCTCACCGGAGCCCATCATCTCCCGGACAATGTCCTCGTTAAATATACGCCGTAGGTATCGCTCGTTGGTGGGATCAAATTTGAATTTTTTCTCGAAAGCCTTATTGCTCACCTTGATTGTTGGTAGATTCTGGAATTCGACGGTCTCACCGCAGAGACCGTCCTCTCCGTAACGCAGCTGAATCAATTGACCAACGGAATTACGCACGGTACCGTCATAGTGCACCATCACAGACTCCATAGCTTTTATCAAACGACGCTGAATGTAACCAGTCTCAGCCGTCTTTACGGCGGTATCAATAAGACCTTCACGACCACCCATTGCGTG